TTACCCGCTCTTCCGTTGCCTAATGCTCTCTCCCAACTGTTAAGCAGTTCTTTATGGCTATGACATTAGCCTCTCTTTGTGACTCCCTCTGTACCCTCTGCTTACTAATCTTACCCACAAACTTTTACAGTTGACAGAATTAGGTTGTTAAAATGTTAATATATTTCAACATAATAAGAATAAGTATAAGAAAATGTAAAAATGTAAACATCTAAATTTGTGAGGAAAGCAGGAAGTCTGAACTCACTGCATTCGTAGAAGTTCATAAAAATTTTTTTTTCACCTTACAGTTACCATTTCCTTTACAGGCCCTTCATGAATCATAGAAAAGATTAATTGACATCAGAGAGAACTTCATCCTCCAAAAACTCTAAAGGGAAATCATTCGGTCACTGGATTGCTTTGCCATATTTATGCACCAAGCTTTAGCAATTTTCTGTGAAAATCAGTCTTGATTTTTATCCTCCATTGTGTATGTGAAAGGATTCATTTCTGTTTTACTTTAATCCTTATTCTTATCATTTTTCACTCCATGATCTCCCCACCCCAATCTTTGCTTTCCATCTATTTCATGTCATTAGCATGTGAACAATGTAAATTTAGTGCTTTGATTTCAGAGTTCTTCCTTGTAGAATTCGGTATGATGGGTAGGACCAAGATGTTTCAGGAGTGTTTGTTGGATTGCATTTTCAGACCCAGGATAGAGTGGAGAGGTGTGCGGTAGGGATTCACATATCAGAGAGAAAGGTAGGGAAAGCAAAAACTACAGTGTTTCACATTTTTATTGTGTGTCCTTTATAGGTTTGCCCGTCTCAGGCACATGGAACAATTCATCCGTTTTGCATACATTTAGTGAGGAGTCTGATACAGTTGAAGACACGCTAGATTTGAATCTGGGTTCAAATGTTGATATGGGGTACAACCCATTCCCCACTGTGGATCCCTTCTTTCCTGCCTCTTTTTGGTATTGTCTCTCCCCATTAGATTGTAAACTCCTTTAGGGCAGGGACTGTCTTTCTTTTTATTAATTGTATCCTTAGTGCTTAGCTCAGTGCCTGGCACATAGTAGGTACTTAAGAAATGTTTATTGGATTGGATTGAAAGAATATTAAAGGAGTTATAAAGTAAGTGTTTGGTCCAGTCTCAGTGAAAAATGTTATTGCCTGGTTGAGGCAGGGATCGGGAAGGTTTCTTATAGCATTGAAATTGTGTTTTAAAGGATAGGTAGCAATAAAATAGGTAGAGAAGAGAAAGAAGAATGCTCCAAGGCCTAAGAGTAGTGTAAGCAAAGACACAGAGGTGGAGAATCGAAGGCCATGTTCAGGGAACTTCGAATAGTCCGGTTTGTCTGGAGTATAGAGAATGTGGATGGGATGAATAAGAAATCACACTGGGAAGATATGGTGGTGTCAGACTGTGGAGGGCCTTCAGTTTGAACTTTACTAACAGAAAATGGGGAGCTACTGGAAATTTTTGAGTGGAGGGGCAGCTAGGTGGCACAGTGGATAGAGCACTGGCCCTGAAGTCAGAGGGACCTAAGTTCAAATCTGTCCTCAGACCAAACACTTGACACGTACTAGCTGTGTGACCCTGGGTAAGTCACTTAACCCCAATTGCCTAAAAAAAAAGAAAAGAAGAAATTTTTGAGTGGGCATGTATGTAAAGAAGAAGGTTATTTTAGAATTGTAGAATGAATTGGGGAGGCAGCTAGGTGGCTCAGTGGGTAGAGTTGTGGGCCTGGGATGAGGAGACCTGAGTTCAGATACAGTCTCAGTCACTTACTAGATGTGTGACCCCAGACAAGTCACCTTACCTTTGTTTCCCTTAATCCACTGGAGAAGGAAATGGCAAAGCACTCTAGTATCTTTGCCAAGAAAACCCCATGGACAGTCTTGGTGTGCTATGGTCCACGGGATCACAAAGAGCTGGACACAGCTGAATGACTGAACAGCACCACCAACAACGGAATACATTGGAGGGGAGAGCAGAGGCGATATGACTTGTTCTGTAACTATTGTGATAGTTCAGACATGTGTTAACAAAGGCCTGACTAATAAGGTGATAGAACTGAGAACAGAGAGGACAGGAGGAACCTTTTAATATGCACAGAATGAGTAGTTGACACCCAGAATCCATCCTTTGCCCTTCTTTGTTAATCCTAGAGCTCTCCTACCTTTCCTATGCAATAATTTTCTCCCTTTACGTTCTTTTTGGCTTTTCTGATGTTGCTTATAGATCCACTAATTTGTATTGCTTGTGTATCATCTGTTTAGGTGGTATAGAACTGAGATGTCCAGCTCAATTTAAAAAGAAAAAAATTGCTAATGAACAATCATCGGGGCATCATAGAATTATAGATTTAAATTTGAGAGGACCTTAGAGGCCATCTTATCCAATTCTCTCATTTTATGGAGCCTTGGAAAACCAAAATGCTGAGAGGTAAGATATCACCAAGGTCACAAATGTTGGAAATGGCTTAGCTGGGATTTGAACCTGGGTCTCCTGACCCAAATTTAGCACTCTTTCTGTATCATATGAGGCTAACTTTCCGTATCAGTCCAATCAGGTCAGATTTGAACCTATTTTTTTTTTTAAGAACAAGAAACTTTTTTTGTTCTGCTACCAAAAAATAGCACCTTGCCAAACTTTGTCACAGCAGCTACTTCACACGTTCTCTTTTCTCCAGTAGCCCACGACACTCCCCCTTCCTGCTTTCCTCTTAGGAAAGGACATTGTCTTCTTCTTGACTGAGCAATGGAGGCTAGCCCCCTACTTCATAACTCAAAACTCATCAGCATTATTTCTCATTCTCTCATCTTCCCTCTGATCTCTCAGGCAGAGAAGGCTTTTCTCTTTGTTATGGCCAGCGCCATCTTCCTAATTTCATCCTTTCACACGGGCTGTCTCTTATGCCTGGGATGGTCTTCTTCCTTGCCTCTGCCTCTTAGGATGCCTAGCTTTCTTCAGGGCTCACTCTTGGTGCCATTCCCTTTGCCCTAAGGGGAGCATTCCTTTGCCTGTTTCCCCAGATCTAAGTGTTTTCTTTCTCCTGACATTTCTTTGTATTTGCTTGTCTGTGTATGTGACACATTCTCCCATTAAAATGTAAACTCCTTGTGAGTTTACTGCATTTTTCTTTGTATCCCTTACACTGAACTTAGTGCCTTTCATGTAGTTAGCATTAAATAAATGCCTTTTAATTGAAATGAATTAATATTTTTATCAGTGTTCCTGAATATATTTTGATTTTTATAACAAATTTCTAAAATACAATTTAATCTGTAAACTTTTTCATAACAAGTTATGGTAGATTAAATTGTAACAATTTTCACTTAGAATAGAACAAAAATGTTATTTCTTAGTGTATGACCACAGAACTTTTTTGGTATTGATTCAGGAAAAAATTGTTTTGTTTTCCCCCCTGCCCTCTAAGAAATTTTGTCTACAGAGTATCTGTCACCAAGCAAACTCTTTTTCCCATAGGAAGAGGTATAGTAATAAGGAACTGTAATATTGAAGCAGGGACTGAAGATTAAAGGGGAGTGTGGCTAGCCCCAAAGGCTAGGGATTAAAAGGGTTCTGTCAGCATTACTGCAATGAGGGAAAGTAGACCCTGTTTCACTGTGGAACCTGTCATTAGTGTTGTCTGACCCCTTCTGCTTCTGTCTATGGGTGTTTTCAGGCTGCTTCCATTAGCCAGCGCTCCTTGGGGTGCCATCAAGGGGAGGTTGAGGAAAACAATACAATTGGGCACATAGCCTAATCTAGGTCAAATAAGGGGATGAGTGAAAGGAATGAAAGGCATACTGTGGTCTTCTTGTTGACACGGAGATAATGTTCATCTTATGCACTGTGCTAGTGATGATTCAGTATCTCAAAAAATCCAACAACCCCAAAAACAATTTCTTCTGGACACATATTAGACTACTACATTATATACTTGTACAACTAATTTTTTTTCCTTCAGAAGTATAGTTAATTTGTAGTTAATAAGTGTAGTTATTTTTCTTAAAAAAAAACCCAGAATATTTTTATGCAACCCACATGCACATGCATAGCTCTTAAATTATTATGACAAATGACAGGAAGAGTTAAGGAATACTGCATTCATAGAATTCCATGGAATACACAAAATATCCAATATTTTGGGTTGTACATAATAAAGAAATACTTTAAAGATATTTTCTAAATACTTTAGCAGCCAAGATGGCCCACTTTATGACCTAGGGATGTGCTTTAGGAAAAAAAAATTTATGTGGGGAGTACCAATTTTCCTAAAAAGAAATCACTGAATAAGACAAATGACATTCATCTTAATATACTGATTTTATACACAATTTTATACAATACCTTTTCTTAAATCAATCCAACAGCAGAAGGTGAGAAGATTCCTCTTCCTCTTTTTTTTGGTAAACAATTGCGTGGAAATCTAGATGACTTTTTTCTTCCTGGATTTTTACCTGGGAGTAGTGGCCTTTTTACTTATGAGGATGCTGGTTTGGCACTTTTATATTCATGTCACCAATGTTAATATTTTTTGGAATCTCAGAAAGATAATTTTTTTTTACCACTAATACTGTACAGACTGGAGCTCCTGCTAAACCAGCCTTGGGTTTCTCAAGTTCATTTTGTGCATCTATTTGAGTCACAATTTCATTCATATTTGCCTCCCTAATCATCCCTGTCATCACCATTTTTACCAGAATATTGTGGATCTTGTCCTATATGGAAAATTAACTTATGTTTACAGACATTTTTCAAAACACTTGTCTAGTGTTTTCACAAATACTTGTATTAGGTCTAAAATGCTAAATTCACTTTCTGAAAAATCCATTTTTGAAGACAAAAATACAATGTGGCAAAGTGGATGTAAATCAGTTTGTTGTCAGATCCACTTATTAGCAGGTCTCTTTTTCTAGGAAATAACAAACATTTTTATTTTGTTGAATACCATATGGAAAGTTTCCTTAATTATTTGTTGCTGTGTGTCTTCAATATAGGGTTGGTAAACTTGGAGAACTGGAGTTGTTCAGGATTGCTGAAGATGAAAATTGCTTTAATCACAGTGGAGCTAAAGGCTAGAGGCGGCAGGATGTGGCTAAGTGAGTACTAGAATCAGAGTATAATGGGAAACCAGATCAGCCTTTCTGCTTCAGGTGTTTCCCTTGACACTTGGCACATGACCCCAAACAATAGCCTTTCCATTTTTTATGGAGGTTTAAGCTAACCTGTTCAAGAGATGGACTTGTTCTAATCTGATAAAAGATCCTTCCCTCCAGGTAGTCTGAAGACTTCTCTGAAGGCCCAATAAACCAGAGGGGCTTCTTCACCCAGTTCCAATAGTCTAGCTTATTGGAAAGAACAAAAGAGTATGAGTCAGTAGATCCTTGGTTCCAGTCCACTACTTAACCTTGGGTTTCTAGATACCTCACAGAGTTGTTCTCAAGATAAACCAAGATAATGCATGACAAGAGTAGGGAACCTGCAGCCTTGAAGCCACGTGTGGCCCTCTAGGTCCTCAAGTACAGCCCTTTGACTTAATCCAAACTTCACAGAACAAATCCCCTTAAGAAAATGGTTTGTTCTGTAAAACTTGGACTCAGTCAAAAGGCCGCACCCACAGACCTAGAAGGCCACATGTGGCCTTGAGGCTGCAGGTTCCCCACACCTGATGAGGAAGAAGGTGCTTTGAAAGCTATAAAGCACTATATAATATAAGGCGTTATTGTTGTTCAATTGTTAAAAATCAAGAGTTATGATAATGTCAATAACGATATTACTCTGTCTGTCAACATACTGCACAGCTGTATGTAGAGGGAGATGTTAAGAATAGCAAGACATAGGGGCAGCTAGGTGGCACAGTGGATACAGCACCAGCCCTGGATTCAGGAGGACCTGAGTTCAAATCCAGTCTCAAACACAAAACACTTACTAGCTGTGTGACCCTGGGCAAGTCACTTAACCCCATTGCCCAACCAAAAAAAAAAAAACCCCAAAAAAACCTCAAACAAACAAACAAAAAAGAATAGCAAGACGTAGACAAGCTGGGGAGAAATGGAGGCAGAAGTGGAAAGAGGAAGATGGAAGCAGAGAAAGCTTGGTCAGTTCTGAGAAGAGCATGTAGTGGGAGGCAAATTGCTCTTTTGCTATGTTGCTTTCTCTTGGGTTATATGTCCATCAGAGTAAGTTATTACTGTCTATTATTGTCCTTTGAAGTAGTTCTGGTTAACCTCATCCAAAGGGACTAAGATAGGAGTCTCCAAGGGAAGAAGTTATTTTCTGAGTCATAACACTTTGGCCTGAGTAAAATTACCTTATAGGCTACTTGACATGAGGTCATTTGAAATCGAAGGGAGAGCCTGATAAAGGTAGAGAATACCACACCTCTGATACAATAAGATCCATGCAGAGAAGGAATGTAGCATGATGTATAGTGTTATCCCGAACAAATTTCTTAAGCCTTTCTGTGCCTCAGTTTCCTCATCTTTGAATTGGGGGATTAAATGAGTACCTGCCTCACAGAGTTGTTGTGATGATCAACCTTAAAGCTCTCTATGAGTGCATTCCTTTATAATCTAGTCACCCAGGATCTTCTAAAGTTCCATGTCTTTCTTTCTCTTTCACTTTGATGGTGTTGGTAGCAAAAAATAAACTGGAAGCAAGTAAGTCAAATTGATGACATTAGACCACTAACTTTTACTTCTCTGAATGTTGTTAATGTTTAATGTCTTCTTCCATTCTGTTTTTCTAGAGTCTCACTTATAATCAAAGAATCATAAACCTTTAGAATTGAAAGAAGGCAGCTAAGAAGAGATCATCTAGTCCAGCTTCCTTCTTTTGAATATGAGAAAAAAATAGGCTTTCAGAGATAAAGTGACTTGTCCAAGTTTCTGCATTGTTGTTTGCAGAACCATCCATCTGGGCCTTTTCCTGAAAGTTTTTGATGATGAGTTAATGGATTTCTCTAGTTTGGCTTTATTTAAGAGGGAGTCTAGTTTGACCCAGAAGGACAACATCAGATCTCCTTTATTTAATCCTCTGCCCTCATTTCAGTGGTTTCAGTGTGAGCATTTGAGAGAGACCACAGGAGCTGTTGCTGCTGAGTCTGACAGAGGAATTTCAACTCTGTCCCATTGCTGTTCTCTTCTTGGGGGTCATTGTTGTATTTGTTTTGATTGCTTCTGAGAGTATAAAGGTTACTATCACACATGTGTTGACTTAGCAGAGATAAGGTTCTGGTGAAAATGAAATTAGACTATTCCAAATTCTCCATCTTTGTATTTCTGTGAAGAATATTGATTTGTTCCCAGAGCCTCCTGTTGATTACCTCCTTTGTATGAGAGCTTAATTGCCAGCATTTAAAATTAGTGCTCTTACTGCAGGGTCAAAACTGAATCATGCAGTGATTCAACATACAAGCCTGCCTATGGAATTTTGACTCGTGTGATATTTATTTTTGCTGGGTCAAGTTGTTCGGGAATAAGGGAGAGAAATACAAGGCTAAAATTATGATATTTCAAATTAGTGCTTTGCTTTTGCTTTTTTTTTCCTCCTGAAATGCACAAAGGTGAGTCTAGAGAATGATTATTTTATTGGTTCGGAAGAAGATTTTCTTTATTAGAACTGAAGAAATAGTTAAAGTTTTGTTTCTGCTTAATATGTAGTTCCCAAGTCACATAGTTCAAGTAAATTGGGAACCTAATTTGGATGGGGATGTGGGGAATGCAAATGTTTTAGCTGGGTTTTCCATTATATTCTAGAAAGCTATTTCTTCTGTCAATGGAGATTAGCTTTCACTGGTAATTGGGAAGTATTGGCTTTTCAAGAAATATTGGCCTTTTGTTAGTTAAAGCTACAAGAGTTCTCCAACTCTTAATATTTTCTTTTACATAAGTCATTTTGAGTGTTAATTAAATGTTCTCTTCACATCTTAAGATGAAAAATTAGCACATACACCTAAATAAAACCATGGCTGACAGGGATAGGAACAATACCACAGGAATATATCTTTTTTTAATGCCTTATTACTGAGTGGAATATTTAGTTTAAAATAAAGGATTAAAAAAAACCTCAGTTGCCTTATCTGATTTTATGAAAGGCAATAAAGAATTTAATTTTTTGACATCTGAGATTTTTTGGGGGGTGTGTGTGAAGTGCAGCAGACATTTATAGAGTTATTAATCCAGTATCACTTTTTTTCTTTAATACAGAGAACCACAAAAAGAACATTCCTTTTTGGAAAGGTATGAACTTTATTCTCTTTTCAGAACAAACCAGTGTGGAGTGGAATAGAAATGTAGTATAGTCTTTCACTCACATTAATCATACACAGTACTGTCAATAATGAGAAGTTAGAGAAATTGCCACTAATTTTGAAATTAGGTAGTTTAATTGTTATGGAATCAGTGTGAGAAATTAGTAAAGGTAGACTTCACTTTCTTTACCAATTAAATCAAAATATAAAATAACCGTAGGACTGGAATGACTTTGGAATTACCTTGGCTAAGAGACAACTGGGTTGCACGGCCAGTCACTGGAGGACTCTTCCAGTCCTATGACTGATTTTTCAACTGTTATTTTGAACTTGGAATTCATGAATAGAGTTCAAGTAAGCCTCTTTAAAAATACTACTCTTAACAAACCCAGGAACTCTATGAACACAATTACAAAACACTTTTTCACACAAATAAAGTCAGATCTAAGTAGTTGGAAAAACATCAGTTGCTCATGGGTAGTTGTTCATCAGAGCTAATATAATAAAAATGACAATTCTACCTAAGCTAATTTACTTATTCAGTGCCATAACAATCAAACTACCAAAATTATTTTATAGTGTTAGAAAAAAGTAATAACAAGATTTGTTTGGAATAACCAAATATCCAGAATATCAAGGGAACAAATGAAAAGAAATGCAGGGGAAGGTGGCCTAGCCATTCCAGATCTTAAATTGTATTATAAAGCAGCAATCATCAAAACTACTTGGTACTAATTAAGAAACAGAGTGGTGGATCAGTAGAATAGGTTAAATATGCAAGACACAGTAGTCAATGACTGTAGTAATCTACTATTTGATAAACCCAAAGACCCCAGCATCTGGGATAAGAACTCACTCTTTGAAAAAAACTACTGGGAAAACTGAAAAAGAGTGTGGCAAAAACTAGGCATAGACCAAAATCTCACACCATATACCAAAATAAAGTTAAAATGAGTTCATGATTTAGATATAAAGGCTGATACTGTAAGCAAATTGGGAGAGCAAGGAATAGTTTACCTGTCAGATTTATGGAGAACAGAAGAATTCATGACCAAACAGGAGATAGAGAACATTACGGAATGCAAAATGAATAACTTTGATTACATTAAATGGAAAATTGCACAAACAAAGCCAATGCAACCAAGATTAGAAAGAAAGTAGAAAATTGGGAAAGAATTTTTGCAACCAGTGTCTCTGAAAAAGGCCTCATTTCTAAAATATATAGAAAACTGAGTCAAATTTATAAGAATACAGTCATTCCCCAATTGATAAATGGTCAAAGGATATGAACAGGCAGTTCTCAGATGAAGAAATTAAAGGCATCTGTAGTCATATGAAAAAATGCTCTAAGTCACTGTTGATTAGAGAAATGCAAATCAAAACAACTCTGAGGTACCACATCACACCTATCAGATTGACCAACATAACAAAACAGGAACATGATAAATGTTGGAGAAGATGTGGGAAAATTGGAACACTAATACATTGTTGGTGGAGTTGTGAAGTAATCCAACCATTTTGGAGAGCAATTTGGAAATATGCCCAAAGAGCTATAAAACTGTGCATATCCGTTGACCCAGCAATAGCACTTCTAGGGCTGTATCCCAAAGAGATTATACAAATGGGAAAAGGACCCACATGTACAAAAATATTTATAGCAGTTCTTTTTGTGGTGGTAAAGAATTGGAAATTGAGAGGATGCCCATCAATTGGGGAATGGCTGAACAAGTTGTAGTATATGAATGTAATGGAATACTATTGTGCTATAAGAAATGATGAGCAGGCAGACTTCAGAAAAACCTGGAAAGACTTCTATGGACTGATGCTGAGTGAAGTGAGCAGAACCAA